GGGGGGGGGAGAGGGAGTGAGAACGAGGACAGCAGGCTACCTGGAAGTGTATGAGAAATTGCTCTTATGGCAGAGATCAGGGCTGTGCAAAGTTTCTCATTGGTGGGACACTTTCGTTTTGTTTTGGCAATTTTAGTAAGTTTTACAGCACTATAGCTTTACAATTAAAAGGTCACATATATAAGTACCGACGATTAGAGGTGTTACAAGCGAATAACAAACACAAAAAAAGAGGAGGAAACATAACGATAGAAGTTTGATAGGAAATAATTAAAAGGAACAAACTACACAACACCAGAGTACCCGCCGACCGCCCAGCCCATTATGGAGGGATGGTCATGACGATTATAACGATGGGGACATAATGATAGATTTAAAAAGAGTGTGTGGGCTGAGACAATGCACAACGATTACATTTCAACACAATAAATAACATGTTCAGGTTACTTTTAGTTTTTGTAAGTGTTTAACGGCATTTGCAAAACAATAAGGTCATATAGGTGCCGAAGATTAGAGGTGTTACAAGAGAGTAACAAATATAAAACAGAAGGAGGAGAGATCAGGAGGATAGTTGGTAGGAAAAGAGGAGCGAAACCACACCAGAGCACCCGCCAACCACCCACCAGGTTACTTTTTGACTGGGAGTAGGGCAAACTCACCAACCTTTGGACGCCATCAAGGGTTCTTCTAAGCCAGAATATTTTTTCTACCTTTTTTATCGGTCCGCCTCCCCCTTCCATGTGGGGAAACAATGCCCATTTTCGGCCTTTAAAATTCCCCCCTTGTAGGCCTATACAGTAGTAGACCGAGGTCTTTTTTCTTCCTTGTAGTAGTTGGCTGAGGCCTATATTTCAACAACAACTGGAATAATCATAACATTGTTAAGTCAGACAAGGATATTATAGTTTTTGAGAGCATCCGTTTAACTGTTTGCTTGGGTAAAGAGAAGCACGTAGACACAATATAATGGCTATTTAGTGCTTTTACTCTGAGCGTCTTGAGTAGGACCTACAAGTGGTGACCTCCAACCAGCATCTTTGTTTTTGTTTTAGTAGAGGTTTTTTTTGGTGCTCGCAACTGCATAATAAGGTCATATGAGCGCCAAGGGGTGGATGTCTATAGAGAAGTCAGTACAAGGAATCGGGCTTACTCTGCTCACCTCTCTAGCTTCAACAGCACAAAATCTGCTTCGACAATCAAGGCACCCCGGAAATAGCGGGTCATTAAGAGTGTGACAAACATACAAAAGAAGCAGAGGAAACTGACGATAGTACGGATTAGGAAAGAAAGACGATAGTAAGGGTTTGGAAAGAAAAAGCAGCTGTTCCCCGTATGCAGTAAATGAGCACGACATTGAAGAATCAGCCCATTTACAATTCTACTGAGCGTAAGAACATGTTAATGAGTTAATGTCCCCCCTTTCGGAAAGCCCTGAAAACACTTCAGTGAGTTAAAGCATCACCCCCTCCCCGGGGGAAGGGGGTGTGGGGGTGTGGAGAGCATCTGAGCGGAAAAATGAATGGCAAACAATGATTGCTGATATAATCTGTTCCAGGTCTGGCACTTACATGATGCTGAAACCACTTTGTCACATACGTGTTAAGTTCATTTCAGATGTCTTCAACAGCGTCTATTTTTCACCCTTTCCTGTTACTTTTTAGTTTCTTAGCTGTAGTTTCTGCAACAGTTTAACTGCACTTAGGTGTTTTCAAACAACCAGGAATGTGCTGAAAATGAGTGCATTACTTGAACAAAGTTGATCATGACACTGAAAGCACACTTATCCAATGTTAAAAGACAAGATAAGTCATATCTATCAGACTGACTACTTGACTTAAGGAAAAGTTAAGTCATTCTTAACGGCTTGCTTGCTTGGCTTAAAGAGAAGCACATATTAACTTGATAATAGTCACAGTTTTTAACCCCAGGAAAAATAGCCAACGAAAATCACCAGAATCTTCTGTTTAGTTTTAGTTAAGTGTTCTACGGCACTTCCAACACAACAAGGTCATATAAGTGCCGAACATTAGAGGTGTTACAAGAAAGTAACAAACACAAAAAAGAAGGAGGGGAGATAAAGACGAAAGACGTTTGATAGGAAAAAAGTAGCAAACCACACCAGAGCCCCTGCCAACCACCCATGTATCTTCTGTAGTGTAGTGAGAAAGCGCTTTGCTGTAACACACAGAAAAACAGGATTCAATTCCGATCCCTTGTTGGGTAAATTTTTATCATGTATCTGAGTCTTTCTGCTGGGATCTTGCATCCCTCTCAGCCTGGGTTGACCCTGAATGAAAGTCTCATCCTTACTGATCAAAATTGTGTCGATGAAAACGTAAACATCTACATTAAAAAAAAAAATTATATAAAAGGTAAAAAAAAAATGAAACTAGACATAAAGACAGAAAGAACTGAGGGACAGTAAAGAGAAAGAGACACCAACTGTAGCACCCACACCACCTGTAGGAAAAGGAGCCAAAGGCATTTAAATGACGAAGAATGTGGATAACAAAGTTCTAAAGCACTTATGTAGGCCTGTATTTTGTTACCAAATCAACTGATCACATGTTGAATCTTGAGAAGAAAAACGGCACAATACATGAAAAATGAAATACGGTACCAAAAGAAAAAAAAAAGAACAAACGAATCAAACAAAAGCAACATTGTATTTTTGTAACATTTTGTGATGGCCTTTTTGAGCCAATTGCAAATAAAAATGATACAACCATATTGTACGATCCTAGTACAAAAGTTTAAGACTAAATTAAATATACAACAGAAATGTGTGAAATTATCAACAGTGCTTTCCAAACAATGCATGATTTTATAGAGAGTTTAAAAAAGTACACATATGGCAAAAACTCCACTGCATTACATAAATAGAAAACAAAAGAAAAAGACAAAAAAAAAGAAATTTTTTTTTGGGTGGAAAACATTATTTTATCTTGCAGGTTACAGCTTGCGAAGAAACTTATGTAATAAAAGCCTTCAAGTTGATTTTTAAAAAAATCTTGGCATGTTTATGACATCTCTTGTTATTTGTCTTATTTTTCATTCTATTTCCTTTTGCTTTCAATTTAACTTTCTTCCAATCAAGGACTTATCTCTATTGGCAGTAAATATCTTAGTGCCTAATGCTCTTCTTTACTTTACAATTTACCACTATCCTCTTTCTTTTTGGGCAACATCTTTTTCTGGGGTCATTCTGTTTTGACTACATGAGCAAAACAAAAAAAATAATCCAGAGAAAAAAAAAACATGTATAAAAAAGTTCTTTTTTACAAAGAAAGTATTACTTCAAAAAGATAACTAAAGATCGGCACGTTTGTTGATTCACAAGTATCGGAATCATCTGTTCCTGACGTTTGATTGGAATAAAATGTCTGCTTCGAAGGCAAACAAACATTCGTCATTTATATTTGTGCCTTATAAGTCAGAAAAAAAGTACAAGAACTGTAATCTGCATTCGTGAAGGTAACAAACAAATAGCTAGCTCTCACTGTGTGCAGATCAAAACATATATGGATGGCAGTGGCCTTTCAAAGATTGGCAACCATATTCATGTCATCACTTTGTAGGTAAAAAAAACCCCAATATATTGAAACACAAAGGTAGAGACACCTAAGAAACATTATAAAAAGAATCTCGTTGTTCTCTATGTCAATCGCACTGTTTTAATCATACTAATTTAAAGACCAAACTGAAGTCAAATCAGTGAGCATTAAAGGATATAGTCACTCTCAAAACAAGAGCAAGGTGTCATATATGAGTAATTTGTAGCAGTGTTGATACAGCGTTGTAAAAATATTAAAATAAAAATGAATCTCAGTGCCAGATGCTTTGGTTTGATCCTGTGTTTACAGTGGAGTCCTCCAAGCTAGCAGTGTTTGCTTTCTCCACACACAGTTGTTATGATTTGGGTGAACCAGTAAAATCACTTGAATTGGTAAGTACAGAAAAACCCAAAGAAAACCAAATACAAACTCAAGTAAAAGCAAAACAAAAGAATTGTAAGAAAACAACAGCAGTTACGTTTCCTGATCCCTGAAAACAACAGCAGTTACGTTTCCTGATCCCTCTCATCCAACAAAAATCATAAAAGAAAAAATAAGCCTAACTAAGTTGCAAGGACTAAATCAATGTAAACTGATACTGATGTGCAAAAGATGTGATTTACATTCTTTGAAGAAATTCAATATGAATGCTGGTTATCTGGAAACACAACTAAAACAAGAACAACTGCCAAGATCCACAAAAATAAAAAGAGACAATAAAAACTCAAAACAATTGAATGGGGTGGAAGAGACACCTTAAATGTCAGGTTTCTGGGCCTAGTGAGGGGGAATTTTGATACGTTAAGCTTAGCCCTCTTTATTCAAAGGCGCTAAACTTTTCATAAAACTGCCCTCACCTTTATGGTCCTTCATATGATTGGTATTGATCTTCCAGAATAGAAGTTTATATTTTCAGAATTTCTCTTTCCCGAAAATATAAAACATCACTATTCTGTGAACTTTTGATTTAAATCATGAATCTGGTGCAGCGGCCATCCAAAAATGTATTGTAAAAAAGTAAAAAAAGTCAAGAACCGGTCCTCGCTAGTCCTGCTACATTCATGTCCATGTATTCAAAAAGTCATTTTTTTCTTCAAATCTTACAAATGCCACATAATATAAGCTTGTTTAAAAATTTTAAAAACCTGCACTACCATATCATTGATAAGGTATTTTACTCTGAAACAAGCTATGATTTGTCTTATAAATCATGAAATCTATGCACTACCATATAAGCAAAATAAAATGGAGAATGAATTTGTGATGATAAACATACATCATTTACCATAGATAAATTTATTACATGCACTGAAAGGATTTGTATAGAATAGGTGTATCAAGCAAGCCTTAAAGGAGCATTAAGTGAAAGTATACATGACATCTCAAAACATGTAAACAAAAAAGTTTTTGTGTCTTAGCAAAATCGTTAGTAAAAATGTGGATAACATAAAAGATATTGTTCCATATCATACGCAGTCCTCTTACAGCATATAATATATATAAATATATACAAAAGTATCTACATAATTACAAACAACAACTATGAACTCACTTTGGGTATGAATAAATTTGATAGAGCTTCATCATTTCCTATGGACATCATAATAATTATAATAATAATAATAATAATAATATAACATGCACATTATGCAGAGTCGAGCACCCAACATAACCAATTTCCAACACGTCTAACTTGTACATAATCCTTTTGTAACAAACCAACAGAGATACTCCACAACAATATCACTTGACCTTGAACAATCACAAGTTATCCTGCACTCAAAGTCTCAGTTAAAATGAACATTCAGCAAAAATAAAAATAATCAGGGGTCGATGATGCTGACACAATCAACATGGCGCTACAACTGTCAATGGTAGTTATAGGCAAAAACTGTCTCCGACGTATGTCTTACAGCACACAGCATCTCTGGAGATCAAGAGTCTTTCACAATTTCAAAGTGCTTATAAATACATGTTTACGAGAGAAAAAAAAAAGGGTATAAATGACCTCGCATCACCTGATGATTGAGAAGCTGCACATGCGATTTGGTCCAGTCATTTCAATTTCTATATCTATGAATTGCTATGGTGAAAACACTGTCAATAATTTCATAAGGTTGGTTTCTTTTTCTTTTTTCTAGATAAAAAAAAAAACTTCCTCCCTCCCCCCTTTTTTGATCTGATTTGAAGCTGAAGAAATGAAAAATTGATACAGGTCTGCAAAAATAATATCAGCCAAAGCATATTATATTCATTCTACGCCAGCTCAGTGAAAAAGAAGTATTCCAATTTTCAACAAATCATTTCATAATGAAATTCTCAAAAATTTTCATACCTTATAAAATCCATCAGCATACGTAGGGATATGTCAACTTCTGACGTTGGGACAGAAGTTAAAAAAACCCCGGACAACTCAACAAAACTAAAAATGTTTCCTGAAAGCTACAGAAGCAAGTGTACACAACTAAACTATGCTATTATATATATATATATATAAGTATGAATACTGAGTGCCCAATGCTACTTGTAGTGTAAATTGGTTCAAAAGAAGATTGTAGATCCATTATCAGCATTTTAAACGGATGAAGTGCACGTACCATCATATCACTCTCAACCTCCTAGTATAGTTACATATATATTCTTGTGCTCTCGTGCATAAAGGTTCTGGGAGCTACTACACCTGAACTTTCTCTCTCTCTCTCTCTCTCTCTTTCTCTCTCTCACACACACACACACACTTACACGATACTCATAAACAAGTACACACGCATACAAAACTGTGAAGCATCATATCCACATCAATGTCAACCTCTCTCAAACTTCAACTGGTCAAAAAATGGAACCATTCGATCAGACCCACTCATCACACACTGTCAGGCACCATTTGCAAGACTCACATAAACCTATCACATCAGCTTAGTACTAAAGAAAAATGTCAAAAGTCACGGCCAGGCAGGGCAGGATATGACAAAAGCGAGCAGCAGGAGGTATATCAGTCCATACTTGTCACAGTTTTTCCGATCATTAATGTTCCACGTCCCCATAAACTCAGCTTGCACCATCTTAGAGGCAATGTCTCTCCACAAATGTTTGTTTGCAGCTTATTCCTCGTAGTAACCCTATGATTTAATTAATACTTTCATCGAATGTTCTTCGGTCACAACTACAGAATCCTTTTTGTGCAAACCTTATCACATTACAATTCATGAAGTCAGATGAGCAGAACATATGGTGCTGATTTATTGCTACTTAGGAATGAAATAATTAATGAACATTGCAAAACTTGGACACAACCTTTTCTGGCAGCTGAGTTTATGGTCAAAACTAAATGGCAGAGTTGTGTGATCATGTAAGTGTACATCACTCAGGAAAGTTCACCTATATGTGGGGCTGTTCACTTGTGTTTATTTATGTTTCAACACTTTCCATCTAGCCTGCGTTTTGAGCACTAAGGCGCTTCTGTGGGTTCATAAAAACTTCCTTTTCTAGTCAAGGATGGCAATATAACTGAACAATGCTACCATGAATCCTACATCAGTTCAAGCAAAGTCTAATCACAGCTCCTGCCTCTAAGGTAACCTAAGTGTGCTGAAAGAGGGTATAAAACCCCACAGAATGTCTTTATCATTGATCAATAGACTGCTTGTGTAAAGAACATTACCCCATCATGCCAAGATTAAAGGCATTTTAAATGTTGCACACATTGTAAGCAACTGAGTGCCCCTAGAAACTGCTCTCACTTATAATGTAAGAAACCCCCCCCAAAAAAAACAACAACAGCAGAACGAATCACAGACACCAGGAAAACTCAAAGGGCCACCCAAAGGCACTTCCACAAAGACATTTGCACATTTATCATGTGCAGAAACCTTTTCTTGGATCCAATAGACAAGCAGAATAATATGAACAAAACCTTTTACAAACATCTTTTGGCAGTCTTTGTAGCAATCATGAATAGTTAAGAACTAAAAAAAAATGTTTTAAATAGAAAGCAAAACAATGTCACAATCACAACAGCAAGAGGCAACGTAAGATATGGTTGATAAAATGATGAACATATAAGCATGCTCTTCAACGGTGTTGTTCTAATTGGCACAAAGGCGATAACTGACTGCTCAATATATATACATAGGGTGGTTGGGAGTCCATTGGCATCATACGAAGAAAGTGGTACGCGTGGACAGATATAGGCCAGATTTTTGTAACTCATATTGATAACAATGACATTCAATCAACGGGACACACAGCTTCAACCTTAAAAGCTGAACTCAAACCTATTCCCTTGTTTGCAAAAACTGAGCTAAATCTGGTATAAATCATAAAAATTTACACACTTTTTGAAACTTGGTCTGACACCTTGAAAGTGCGGTACATATTGTCCAAAAAGTATTAGATTGGAAAAGTTATCCTCTACCTCAGTCTAAATTCTTTCTCGTTTAGAATATAATAGACAAAAGGAAAGCCACATTGTTCAATACATTGACCAATAGAAAAGCAGTTGTTCTTTTTATATGAACTCTAGACAAATAAGATTTCTAGAAAGTACTTGTCAGCACCACAAAACAATTTCCAAAACAATGAAAAAAAAATTCAGAAGTAAACTATGCCATCAAGAATCTAGAGGGTTTTTTTAAAAAAGATGTTTGCCTTAAGTTTACCTACACATACAAAATAATTTACTACTAGTAAAAACTCTAAAACGAAAAAAAAAAGTCTTAACCTTGAAATTTGTAATATATAACTGTTGGAGTAAGCTTACAAAAAAAGTACCAAAATATAGAAAGCACCATATAATATCTGATAGTGGTGCCTTTAGTGGAAAGACAATAGACTCTTAACTGGTGAAAAATATTACTGATTCCTTCAGACAGAAGTCTCTTGTTAATTAAAACCAAAAAAAACATAAAGTAAAGATCGTTTGTTCTGAAGAAGGCAGCACCAAAAGTAAGCTTGATATATTGATTATAATCCATTACACAAAGAGAGAAATTGCCAATTTTTTTTTGGTGCTGTATATAACTAGGACTGTATTGATTCACTTTGGCTACCTACCCCTGCAGAATATGTACAAACCATTTCCCAACAATATTATTTCCTACAAAACAATGGACTGTTAATTTGTTCTTTGTGTCCTTACTCGTAAATTGAGCCATAATTTATCAAACGATCAAGTTATGCAATAACACATTTGTCAAATCCATCCTATGAAAACTAAGTACAAAGTACAAGTCCAATCAGGTAAAATGACTTATACTGGCAAAAAATAAGTGTACTTATAGTTACCACAATTACTTCACGTTTGACAGAGCAACTGTAACATCAGTATTCCTCTTTGTAACCTCAGTGTTTCTCTTCGTAACCTCAGTATTCCTCTTTGTAACCTCAGTATTCCTCTTTGTAACCTCAGTATTTCTCTTCGTAACCTCAGTATTTCTCTTCGTAACCTCAGTATTCCTCTTTGTAACCTCAGTATTCCCCTTTGTAACCTCGGCATTCCCCTTTGTAACCTCAGTATTTCTCTTTGAAACATCAGTATTCCTCTTTGTAACCTCAGTATTCCCCTTTGTAACCTCGGCATTCCTCTTTGTAACCTCAGTATTCCCCTTTGTAACCTCGGCATTCCTCTTTGTAACCTCAGTCTTCCTCTTTGTAACCTCAGTCTTCCTCTTCGTAACCTCAGTCTTCCTTGTGATGCCTATCGTGTGTGAAACCATGATTGAGCTAACTGCGTCAGGACATGCTCTTCTTCACTTTCTTGCACGAGGATTTCATTTCCCATATTCATGAGAACATCTTGCAGAGGAAAACTGTCGTCTACTGCAATCTGTTAGTACTATATTATGTACATGACTGAACTGCTTGCACAAGTGGATTTGCTGAGAGCACTGAAAAGATACCACACCTCAGGATAATACAAATTTATGTTGTAATTATAAGTGTATGACATATCGTAGCACCAGGGTCGCAAATATGGAAACTAATTCCTCTAATAAAGAGCTATAGCAAGTAAAAAACATTTATACATTATCTGTTATATTATACTCAACATGATCAAACTAAAAATCCAAACTTCATACTTACGACTTGTTCATAACCCAGTGCAGTACATTTTCCTCATTTCTACTGTTTAAACAATTTGTGCGATTATAACCAGTATTAAAAAAAAAAAACCTATCACACTTGGGACATAAAGTGATCTTAAAAAAACAAACTTGTATACTTGTTGAGACCACTGATCTGATTTCCGATTTTCATCCCAGGATGACTTCTGAGGTACATAAAAAAATTACGTAGAAGCAAATGTTCATTTTAATTGCTTTACTCCTTATCATTAAAATAAATATGATCACAACGCATAACAATCTAAAATCGCGTTATTAGTCTGGAAGTATATGAAAATGAAGGTATATGAAAGCAAAACATTTTGTTCGTTTCACTGGACAACACAGACTGAATTTTCTTTCATACAGAGCTAAGAAAAAATGATAAAAAAGTGGTTTATTTCAACTTCTGCACAGTAGAAAAGAGGTATCAGTGTAGATATGGCCAAATATTCTCCATAAAAATTTGTGACCTTTTTTTCCGTACGATCATCTAATGAAAAAAAAGTAATCACTCAGGTCAAATACTGTCACTGTGCGAGCTGCCGACCTAATGTGACCAACGCGGTCTCAACGAGACATAGTTCTAAAAAATTTTACCCGATGGTTTAACTCCAGAGTAAATATGACTGATCTTATATGTTTAATGCCCCCGACTGACAGTGTCGATCAATATCATTTAAGAGGCAGACTGTTTCGACCCCGGCCGTCAGGGTCAACCTGGGCAGCATGAGATAAAACACCTCAGCAGAACGACAGATGGTCAACTTATTTTATCCGATCTGTCATACATGTGAGAATTAAACTCACATCCTTTGTATGAGAGTTTAAGAGCCTAACCATTCAACAACAGCTGCCTATGATGTAACCATAGTGTGACTAGTATTGGAAACGTCATGGGACACATGACACAAGCATCTTGTGGTCCAGTGAAGCGATACAGAAAACAGGAATTTCACACAATTCAAGGTACGTCTGTAGCGAGCAACTGTAAAATAAGATAGTAAACATAGGATTGAGACAGATATACAGACAGTCAGTCAAGCTTGGTAGAGACATTCACTCCACGTTTCATCTGCTTAAAAGAGTAGCAGCTGGCATTGCAAAACTGCACCAAGAACTAGCTGAGGCATTTCAAGAAAAGAAACTAAACAAAAACTCAAATCAAATGCATCAGAAACAAAATTTGAAAGAGTGGTTAAACTCTTTATCTCTGGAGGGTTTTTCCCCACTATTCCAGAGCCCTCTTTTGGTATGAAACGCGAGAGTGATATACACCTCACCAAAGTGGTCATAAAATCAAAACAAAGGAGCCTATTTTCAAAGTTTTACATCTAATGAAAACACTCCAGGTTAAAAAAAGAGCTATTTTCGGCAACTGATGAAAATTAATAAAATGTCTTTGTTGTAGAGGAATTTGACAGAGATGCTGACAGTGGAACATCAGCACAGTGGTTCCAACAGCAAGCCACTGGGAGTTGCTTGTCAGAAATAAGGAATTAAAGTAAAAATTGATTTCAGTTAATCAGTTCTTTACAGCTTCCTAAGAACAAATCAGCAAAAGGTATTCATCAGCTGGATTTTAAAGCACAACAAAAGCTTCAATGAACCAGTTGTAAGCTTTTTGATTCCTTGTCTAGTGTCGTATAGGACTCTGGACCACAGTGAAGTCATTTCTCAGATGATCAACCAAATCTTGTCTTCCTTAATTACAATCAACAGTTTGGGAAAGTGATTCATATCATCAGAATCATGAAACCAAGCTCTAAACACTACCAAAAAAACTTGTCTAAATGTGTAACAGAAGCTTCATGCAAGCCAAACCTCTCAAGCCACAGTTTCCATTTCCTCACTGGCCACAACTTTCAAGGATAAGTTCAAATTGACCTTCATCCCATTCTTACTGGATATTAACAATATATAGTGCCATTTATGTCAGAGGTGATGGAGTTCATAGCATGTTGTGTAACATCAACAACTTTCACATGATGCACAAATATTTTTTCAGTCTTCGTTTGAGTTCCCTCGGCAGTACAATTATATAATTTTTAGTTTGATGCAAGACAAAAAAGGCCATACTATCACTTTTATAAATATTACAGATTCAGCGATATTATCATCAGCAGCAAAAAATATGAAATGATATATAGGAATCTCTTGTGGCCCCTTGCGCGAGTGTAGAAAAAACATTGAGCCTTGACAGACCAGAAAAAAAATGTTCCTAAGAGTTCCTTCCTGTTTCAGCCTTTTTTGGACAAGTTCAGTTCTCATAAACTCATAACAATGCAACACTTCTGTAGATAAACATATTAGCTTTCTTGTTCACATCACTGTGCGCAAATTAAAGCTTATTCTATATAGTAAAACTTTTAATTCAAAAGAACTGCTTTGCAAAACTAATTATTCTATCCACATCATAGTCTCTCAACTGTATAGGGAAAACATTTTACAGGAGTGTTGCAGCCTATCGAGAATTTGTCCATTCCTTCCAATTTCGTACTGTGTATGACTGGCACATCAAATACTGATATCAGCTGGGATCACTTCATTCTTTGCCAGCAGGACAACACTGGGGGCAAGTATATCTTATTGCTGTCACTGGATAAAACTCGGCCCATCACAGTCAGTCTTTGCCAAAGACAAAATCAGCTACTCAATCTAAAATGATATCCTACACCACAGACACCGCGGGGTCACAGAAGTACTTTTACTCACACTGGGACAACTGTTGTGAAAACAAAATGACCTCGCTGTAGACGACAATCTGAATTTTACAAAAGTCAAAGACTTGCTAATCCTGATTTCACGTTCGTGTCATGATTCAGCGGCATTTCTTATAAAGCTTTACTGTAATGAAAATCCAGGGACAAATTTTGGTCTGTCTAAGGTGGGTTTTTTTAACTCTCCTAAAGAAAGCGGCCACGCAAAATGATAAACTATGAGTACAGCAAAACATTGCATAAACATTATACATCAACATGTACAGATATTTTGAATATATCATGCAGATATTTCAGAACATGCAATATACTGGTCAATACAACATATCCCTCTGTGGTAACAGAGCTGTCTTTCAGTGAACATGAAGTTCATTAAGTGATTTCGTCCCTCTCAAAACACTGATGAATTCACATTTCATGAGCAAAATTTGAAGAGCGTTTCTGTGAAAACACTGGTACTGTGTGACTGTATTGTTAATGTCCAGGCTACTTTCAGTGGTATATCAGTGTCACGAGTTGCCAGCAGTGTACAACTGTTGAGAATCCAGGGAGAGTGCGGCCATTTCTCAGCTTTATCTCATGATCCAGTCTCACTTTGAGAGGGTGTGATTGAGGGACACGTCAATCGAAGAAAGCATCGAATATGAAATGATATGGCAAAGACCAGAGTGTAACTGTTTCCTAAAAACTCCAGCAATGAGGAACAGTTCACTTAAGCAGGCAGCAGAAGGAGCAGCAGGGCCACAGGGAGGTAATGGCCTGCACTTGTCAATCTCTCCTTTCTCAGTGTGGTATGTATCCTGAATGATACAACCATCCACGTATCCCTCTCCACATATCCACCAACACAAGCTCATCTCTTTTCTCTCTCTAACTGCGGAGTACATTATATGAGCATCCATATTCCTCCCCCGTACTCTCCTCACCCCCTGTTACCTCTCTTCCCCATTTCTTTCATCTTCTTGTATGGGACATACCATACAAGCACCTGCATTCCCCATCCCCCTACACGCCCCTAAACAACTCTTGCACTGACCAACAAAGAAGCACAGTTAGATTTTCGACTCCGTGCTATCTAACCGCACTCCGTGGAGCTTCACAGTTGTGTTCACTTTGGGCGAGTGGTTGCCGTGCATCCCACCGTTACCATGCATGCCCCCGTTCATGCTGCGGTAGTATGGGTGCTCACTGTCTCTGTCACTGATCGAATGCACGGGGGACGTTGAGTTGTTGGGGACGGGGTGGTAGCCATTACGCATGTGTCCTTTCGGCTTCCAGATTTCGCTGTCATCGTCAAAGTAGTCTGGATTGGCGACGGAGAAAACTCCCTTGGCGGGTTCGGGAGGCTGGTTGCGGTAAGCATGTCGCGGGTCACTGACTGGTTTCAGAGGATGTGAGGGCGACACCGCTCCTGATGCCGACAACATCTGGTCCGTCTCCTCGACAAAAGGATCCTCTGCATCTGCCATCACTTCCTTCTCGTTCTGGTAGTAGCCTGAAGAAATATGTCCATTTGAAAGAATTGTATTAAAAATTTTATTTTCGTTTGTTTGAGTAAGCAAATCACACAGATCGGTCATTTAGAGTACGGAGAAAGTAATACAGACCAACAGAAATAACAGAGTGAAAGAAAAGAAGCTGCACCTACCCGCGACACTACCTGCTAATTTACAGCTGGAAAGTATGCAATGACATATGAGTTGTCTGAGCCAAAGTGAAAGACAATTACACCATATTAGTCATTTAGTGATTGGGGAAAAAGCAAAAAAAAACAACAGAGGGGTGGTGAAAAGGTAGGACCTGCTGATTGTGCATCCTCTAACCATACATTTGAAAAATGATAAACAATAGGATGGCTGTTATAAATCTACACACACTACAAGGAACAAAAAAAAAATCAACAATGAATAAACCAAAAATCAAAAGTAAATAACCAGAAAAGACGCGTGGCTTCCTATAAAAACACACTATATAACACTTCCCATGAAAGTATCAGTAGTACAGAGCCTTCGGAAAAACAATTTGCCAAAATCTAGATGGTACCACCAAAACTTCATTTCTACATGTTTCTCACTGGCTATTATATAATTAAATTCAGATGTAATTCCCTACAAATTGCATCCTAAAAGAGCTAAGTATCTGTCTTAGAAGTAAACATTTCTCCACCAGCACAGAACAGGTTATGTAATGACAAGGCTCTTTACTGCCGCATGCAAAAATGAGTTCGTTTCCCATGCGGGGAGATTTTTTAAATCGGGTATCTCCTGTCAGCTGGAAGGCAGCATCCCTCTCATGAGGGAAGCAGTATCCTTCTCAGCACTGGCTCGCCCTGACAGGCAGGGTTAAAGCAGCCTGTCTCCTATTTCATCTAGATTGTGGCAATGGAGGCGTCCAACATTTTCAATTACAATATTCAGTTCAAAGTGTTGAATCTTCTTCTTCAAAGGCTATATCTGTAACAAGACACCACTGATCATGATTTTTAACTCATTTCTCCACTCGGATATTCTCAAGTGACCTATATTGTACTGGTATATCTTGTCCCCCATCTGTTCAAGTTCGCCAAATAACTAATTTGTGGTCTACCTCTGCCTCTTTTGCCTTCTATTTTTCCTTACAGTAAACAGGAAAAAACTGACCTGATCCCTCCAAGTCCAGGTAAGCAAGAGACTGGGCGGCGGCGCCCGGCTGAAGGTAGTCATCTTTGTCCACCGGCAGCATTATCGCGGGGTTCACCCCGTACGCCATCTTGGGAGAATCTGGCTCTCCGAAGCGGCTGTGGCCATCGGGATAGTTGGTGAACACACTGTCCGTCCCATCATGACCCCACTCAATCTCCTCTGCACAGCACAGAAAGAAAAATTAATAAGATTGGAATGTGCAAAAAAAAAATGTTTAATACCAGATTGAAAGACAAGCTATCCCTCTTCCCCAAAGAAAATTCAGACAAATAAGAAAGACAAATTCAATGACACTAACCCACTCCACCAAACACCAGTACACATGAGAATAAAGATTCAACCTGAACACATATAAAGGAAACTTCAAATGGAAAAGAAAAGGAAAGAAAAACAGGACCTAAAGAAACAATAAGCACTGAAGACAAATAATCTAGAATGCCTCTTCAGTATTCAGAGGCTAAATAAAGAAGACGAATTTTCCTTGCAACAAGGAAAAAAAGTAAACATTTCTGGTAATACAGTAGTTGCAAGCGTCTATCACCCAAATAAAACTAAAATAAAAAAAAAATAAAAATAATTTGACCTCTACAGTTATTTATGCCATCCATTCATGGAGTTACATTAAGATTATGAAAATAGACCCAGCAAATCAAAATGAATATTACAGCCTCTGCCTTGACTGAGCACATACAGAAACGCTACAGCAAAATGTAAAGGGATCACCATTATCATTGACTCGGTATCATCCTGGGTAGTTGAGAAGGGGATCCTGGTTTGAACCTCTTCTGGAAGTTATCATTGCTCTTTACCCATCAAACAAAAAACCCGATGAGCTGATGTTCAGGATTCAAGTACTCCGAGACTCGCAGATACCCGAGTACTTACTTGAATATCTGATAATTACTAGGACTCTAGTAGTCCAAAATACTGGACTCCCACACACCTATAACAACCTAGGAGTAACTATTACACAACTGGCACTGATCGACCAACCTTTGTCCTTGGTGAACTTGATAGGGTCAGAGCTGTATCTGGAGCTGACGCTGTTACCTCGGGTGCGCGGTGCCTCCCTCTCTTGTTTGGCCCGCGCTGCTGCCGTCAGATGACCGTACTTCTTCTCCCTCACTTTCTGTCCATCACGATGACCTTTCATGTCAGATTTGCCGCCGCTGGGCGAGTGCATGTGATGGTGGCCGGGGTAGCCCTGGTGGTGCATGTGGTGGTCGCCCATCATCCGTGACGCGGACGACTGAAAGAAGGAGAATGGAAACGGGTTAAGTGAGCACAAAGTGCCTTGAGGCACATAGTGACGAGTACGATACAAAATTAGTGGAGTCCACTTAAACAGGAATCTGCAGCACTGCCGGATATTCTTAGGTTTAGCCAAGTTTTCTGTTTAAAGCAAAAAAATACCCAAAAAAAACAACTTGAGATTCTATTTTCTTTTGGTTTACCAATGTTTTTGGATTAACCATGTTTGGTATACGTGGATTTCCTTTGTAAAATTCATTTTCACTACTATTCCTCAAAGAGATTTATTTAACATTGACTAGTTTTACTTTGACTAGAGAGAGGGAAATACCAACAAACTGATTGGGAAAAAAATTTTTTAAATTTTTAATGGCAAAAATACGGACTGAAATTACAAAGTCACAGCAACACTAGTCACTCTCCAACACACCGTGGACATATTGCTCAATTGTCTGTCTGGTGACCGAGGCAAGGAGCCAGGTCTGTGGTTCCTGTGTCCTTCTGTGGCCACTGGCTGCAGATATTCTTCGGCTTCCATGACACTCTCTGGCCCATCTGTAATTCCGTGGACCAGGTCATTTTTGTCATAGGAGATGCTGGGCAGTCGCATCAAAGAGTCGCCCTGGGGGTAAACAAAAGAAAATAATTCATTACAGTAAGTTAATTAATAAAATGAAAAGCACGAGTAATGATACAATCCCTGTCACTCAGTGTTGGTGCAGAAGAAAAAAAAGCAAGATGAACAAAAGTGGCATCAGAGGGAGAGGAAAACAGTAGGGCCAGTAAGAAGCTGCTTCCTACCACCCATAAAGATAACTTATATACCAAAAAAACAGAGTCTGCTGGGTGGAGGGTGGGGAGGGGCGTGGGATTAAGGTGCATCATCACGCTCACAGAGAGGGAAAACCATAAAAGGCCAGTTTTGTCAGTGACAGAGAAAGGTAGTAGTAACACTGAAAATTCCGCCTACCACAGTGCCCACCTCTCACGACAGACAGGAACTCTACTCGTAAAAGGCTAGCAAAGAAGTAAGCCCTACCAGTGGCACCCTCCAAATATCTGCACTGAGAACTTTCCTTCAATGTGCCCACGGTAAGGGGGGAGTGGAGGGGGAGGCAAAGACATTGATAATGGCAGATAGGGATGACTTTGAGAACTATAACCAAAAAAATAGAGGAAGAACAAGCAACACCATGTCTCACACCTGTGTTCTAGTTTTAGTAAGAGTTTTACGGCATTTGCAACACACTTAGGCCATGCAAGTGCTGATGATTAAAGGTGTTGCAAGATATTAACAATTTTTTTTAAAAAGGAGGAGAGATTTATAAGTAAGATAGACGTTTGATAGGAAAGAAGGAGCAAACCACACCAGAGCATCCACCAAATCCCCCCTCCCCCAATTCACCTATGTAAGAAAACAAACTAGTGAAACGAAGGACACAGGAAGCGGCTTGATCAACATTGAGACTAAACTGATCTTTGAAAGGATGTGTGCTAAAACAAGGAGAGCAGACAGAGAAAGAAGTGGTGAGGAAGGGACTGCACAAAGTCAAAGCGCAGAGACCTTATGGTGGGGAAGGTGGTCGGAGAGGGCGGGCTGAGGCGCATGGGGGGGGGGGGAAGAGACACTGGGAATGGACTATACATAATGATACCTGTGGGTGTAACTTCAATTTAAAAACTATAACGGACCAATTAAAGAGGCATGGACTCTTAACGTAACCTCCTCTCACATAAGAATGAAGACGTGTGAAGAAAAATTTTAACAAGGAGACAACTAAGGAGAAAAAAAAAAGGGAAAGCAGCAACGGTGGTGGTGGCAGAAGTTCGTCTCTGTCTGAAACAAAACTGTCGATGATGGCACAGGTCTCCTAATAGCCTATATTTTACAGAGGACAATGGTGCAAGGGCAGTCAAGCATTATGTTGCTGGGTGTTTGTTGTGAGTATTTGTTTGAGTAGGCGTCTCAGTTTTGGCTGCTGTGAGTAAAGAGAGGCAAATCAATACAATAACAGTCATTTAAAGCAGGGAAGGAGCTAGCAAAACAGACCGGACGGGCAGAGGAAGAGAAAAGAATCCAGTCTGTAGCCCACCTTTCTGCTGAGATACAATATCATACATAGTCTTGGTTGACTAAGTCAGGTAGGATTGAAGAAGTCACTTCCAAAACAAACTTAATTGTATTTATAGGGCATAAAACATTTACAATCAACCTCTCTTTCTTGAGCTGCCGTATGTGGTAGAAGCTTGGAGAGAGAGAGAGAGAGAGAGAGAGAGAGAGAGAGAGAGAGAGAGAGAGAGCACAAAATAATCTTTTTAAGAATTTAACTAGTCCTGTACACAGTTGTGCCTGCATAGCGATACCTTTGAAGGCACTTGATTCAAAAAAGCAAACATTAAGTCATAGTCGGCTCTGTAAACCTCAATAACGAGCCTATAATACAATAGACTGGCCTGTCTATTCAGTGCAAGAAACTGAACTACTTCTCAGTCACACTAATTAAAAAAACACAAAACCTATTCTTCCTTAAGCCAAATACATGTAATATTGTTTGCTATGAGTCTTTATTAACTATATACACTTTCCTTTTGTGACACAAAGTATTTAGCAATGAAACAGTTTTCTCTACAAGTGCTTGTGTTGGAACAGACCAAGTTTGAAAGTAGGCAATACAATATTCAACATGCTGATTACTGAACGTTCTCCAGATGTAAAGCTAAATCATGCACATATATGCATAGCACAAAAGAAGAGGTGAGGACTATGTGCAGTACGTTTACTTAGTGACAGTATTTCATCTTCTCCCATCCACACTGTATCTCTTCCTTCCCTTCCCCATTGATCTCTCTATGTTAATCCCCTACACTCCCCCGCCCCCTTTAAAAAAAATCACTTATAACACAAAAAGAAAACCACAACATCATCAACAATCTTAAACGTTTAACTTCTTCTCTTTAAAGCCATCCTGTTTACAAATAATATGATTTATCTTTTATTTACTTTCTTTTTTTTCCTCTCACAATATAATGTCCATAAACGGGCATGAAGTTCTAACCGTACTTACGTATTATTGTTATTGTTGCACAATAATTATAAAAAATAAAAGTCACCGCAGCTAAATCAACACTCTCTATCTAGCCCGTTGTCATCATCCACTTTTTTAAAATTATCAAAGAGTCGTCTAAGAAGCACAATGGAATAATAAAACAAATTTGAATTATATAATGCTAGTTTTGTTAAGTCTCACTTCCATTCTTATAGATGAATTGAAAAAAAAAAAGGATTTGCGGTACACGCGAATTAAATAATGATTCAACTTTCAAGGCATAGTTTATACAGAATTAGAGACGAGTGTTATCAGTTTGAGTGAAACATAACAGTGTCAAAGCGATTAATAAATTATATAGTATTACCCTGATAAAAAACGACAAGATTACCCACTTTTCAAAAGGCGTCATATAAATTATGATCAGTATTATTACCAGTATTATTACATGTATATTATCCATATTATTATTATTATTATTATTATTATTATTACCAACATCATCATCATTACCATTATCATTATAATAGCAGTTATTACATATGTATTGTTATATCATTATTAAATAATATGAGAAATCTCGGGACCGACCTATTTTAAGAAATCACATACTATAATTATTATTGTTTTGCTTAGAAAGGGAAATGAATAGGCAGTCATAACGAGCAGGTTCACATCAACCAAACACAATATTTATATAGAAAACTACACATCATGTACAAAAGCTCACATCGGTAGCCTATGATGTTCTTCATTACACAGTGGCACAACAAACATGCACACACACACAAACACACACATGGGACATTTTGGGCTGCTCGATCTCCGCAGCAGCTGAAGACTGAAGTTGAAGAGTGCCACAGCAGGCAGGCAGGCATGCAGATTTTTGGCACATTTAAGAATTTTTCACCAACACCGACATGCTCAAAGAGAAGAACAAATAATCATGAAAATAATAATCTTTTAAAAAATATATGGTTCATCGCATGCTGTGGGGACCCTAAAGTGTATACAAACATGGACCAATGAAGCAAACATGCTACTGTATATTATGTAGGCCTATCTGGCTGTCTCATGCACTCTGTGAACTCCAGCATCTACTGGTGGCATGCGAACAGTAAGCTCACACCTGTCCCTGTAGTTTTAAGCAAGAAAAATTCCGAAATTAAGCAAACTGAGCCCAAAAATGTGAAATTATGCGCTTCTGTTAATTTTAACATAGAATGATAAAGAAAAATAATCAGAAATTATGCAAGAAATGATCAAATTTTGTTAAATTATGCGGAGTGCATAAAACTACAGGGACAGTCACACAGACCAAAACAAACAGTAAGACACCCAGGGAGGGCCCCCCCCCCCCCCCAAAAAAAAAAAAAAAAAAAATTAAAATTAAAACTTAAAAAATATAAATAAATAACAACATAACCTATAGCCTAGATACAATATCTATGTAAACGGGGTAAAAACAAACAGTGTTCCTACTCAGTATACACGACCACCATCGGTTTTATTATTCAGTAGGTGTTTATGACACTATCCGACTCAATTTCGCCACTGATGGGGTCGCCTCCTATTTCCCCAAATAGCTGCATTTTATAGCATCACACACACACGACCCTATCCCCACACATTGAGGATGGAAAAGCATTGAGACATCAAAGCAACAACCTACATTGAAAAATCAAATTCCTAGTTTTGGAAGAAAAAGAAAAGAAAAGAAAAAACACCTTTTCAGTTACAGGATGCAATAGCAGTATTTTTTCCTTATATTTTTTTCTTCTCCAGATCCGATCACTAATAGCAAGGTGGGTAAGACATGAGCATACTCCTTTCAGAACAAGGGACAACATTTCTATTTCTTTCATTTAATCTTTCAAATGTTAAAGAAACTATACTTGTAATAGCTGCAGCTTTTAAAAATTCCCTCTACTGCAAAATCCAAATTGTTTCTCCCATTGGTTATGAGAAATGTAAGCATGTGCGCATGCATGCATGCTCTCTCTCTCGCTCTCTCTCTCTCTCTTTCTCTCTCTCTCACACACACACACACACACACGCGCGCGCACACATACACAAGCATCCCCCCAAGTAAACACACGCACGCACAGATATAGACCCCCAACACAAAACACACATGCCATTTTACACACAAAATAGATTAGATGTAACTTAGACAGTATAAATATAATGAAGGTGAGTTGAGAGACATTCTAAACCAGATGTAGAAATCAGGAAGGAGGATCTGGAAAATGGAGATTCTCCTTTCTGAACTTCATGCGCACTTTGGCCTAGACATTCAAGACCGTGGACACTTCTAGCAGAACCCAGTATATTATACATTTTAATTAGTACAGTATATTTTCCTGCAGCTCCATACCAGAAGCAGAACTTTTACCACTTAATTTTAACTACACGTACTATAGGCATAATTTAGTTTCGATTTTTAAAAAACAGATTTTGACACTACATTGGAAACTATATATTTCTTGTCCATTTTCTAATTCCATCAAGAAGGTGCCTCATTTTTAAAAAAAATTTTTTTTTGGGGGGGGGGGGGGGGGGGGGGAGATGTTCAAGTATTTGAAAACAATCTATAAAAGTGGAGGGCATTGCCCTCGATACTTTATGTATATTACTGACATATACTGTCACTTTTCTGCAATAAAAAATATATATTTGCAACGACAGCAGATAAACATGAATGTTTAAAAATCAACAATAGATTTATTTTTGTGATAAACGATTATTTATTTTTTTATGAGATCAAAATGCCAGTTCATGCATCCACGGTGATATCCGTCTTCCAGCCAAAGTGATAAAACATGACGTCATTGCGTGATCTAGGAGTCATAATGGGGACAACCATCAGGCGAGAACCACGTGCCATACAGAAATGTTGATTAGCGACGGAAGTACGAAAATGAAGTCACATTAAGGATGCTAACAATTGGGGGAGGGGGGGGGGAGGTCACAGTTCACAGGTATAGCAGTTACAGCACATGAGCAGACGGGAGAAAGCACAGCTAGCAGACGAATACACCATTAGAGTCTCATGGGTCATGAGATATGACCTTCACCTCTGCGGTGGGCGGGGCTAGGGGTGCCCCGTCCATGGTTTCCAGGTCAAGGTCGGAGCCAGAGAGGGCCGACTCTGGGAACCTACGATGGTCGTCTCCCTGTCGTGAGAGCGGGTGTGAGGCAGGGTGCGGGGAGGAGGCAAAGCCTGCCGTTTAGTGAGGGCAAACGGAACCAACAAAACACCACCATGCAAGTACACGCACAAAATGATTAGGCCTATTGAGTATAGATGTATGCGTTCATTTCCCAGAACTCGGACATACATTAATTAAAAATGTATGCCCATATGTTTCAGAACTAGGACATACATTAATCATATATTGTATGGGCATATTATTATTATTTCCCACTGCTCAGACTAGATTATCGATGTATGTGCATATTCCTCTGACGTCAGACATACATTATAGATGTATGCAGATATTCTTCTCCAGACATACATACATATATACTTTTCTCCTCCTCCTCCACCTACTCTTCCTGGGGGGCAACCCAGTGTTTAGCGAATGTATGTCCATAAAAAATGTCCAGCAATTTCTGGGTGATGGTGGCTTCTAGATAAGTACCAGGCTGTGTCCTTGAGCAAGACGGACATGTCTACCCTAATTCAAAAACGAAGCGCACACTGTGGTGACCAGCAATGGCGTACTATTGCTTGAAATTGTTATAATGTTATAGGAGTTTTGCATTGTTTGTTATGCATGTCCATGTGAAACAAACTTCCCTTCCAGGATAAATATAGAGAACACTCTACCCCCCCCCCCCCCAATATTTTCCTCTTCTTCTCCTCGCCCTTTTTCTGCTTCGGTTACTCAATCAAACACAGAAACACAAACACAGGCACAAAGTTTTCATGAGAGCTGTACATAAGCGCAAAGCATGTGAATAATATTTCAGTGCGCTTGCTCTTGCGGAATACATTTGCTATGGTCACTACATCAGCATAGAAGTGCATCTGTGAACACAAACAATCAACACAATTCTTTCTTCATAAGTACACGAATACACACATACACACACGATACAAACACTGACCTACACATAGTAAGATCACAGAGCAGAATATTGAAATTAGTAAGACTATAACAATATCTGTCCAACATATTATGAGGTCTCAAAAAGCTATGTTAACAAACTTTATTTCCTGCATTTCATCTCACTTTGTTCCCAACACAGATTGTGAGTAGGAACACAGAGTCTCACCCCTCTCCTCAATAAGAACAAACAATATAGAACGAAAAAAAATCACCCCATTAAACAAATCCACTGAAAACACAGGCACAAAGTCCCACTCCTACTGCCATGATGGAAAAGAGCTCAAACAATTCTGAAGATCAACACGTACAGAAGGAAACAGACAGAAATCCACTGCAAAGACACGATATCAATACCTATGGAAAGAAAATCTGAAAGTGAACAAGTCACACACCCCAGTTAAAACCTTGTTATAAGCATGTTATCTTTAGACATAAGCTAAGGAACACAGGGTGGTTGATACCAGTTAGATTGCAGAAGAAAAGGTAATTTCTACCGGGGCTCCCAAAGCCACAGCAGGATGGGAGAGCTGTGTTCCATAGAACAAACAATTTTTGAGACGTTAAAGAGAACAATCAAATTGATTTGGATCAATTTGAGAGAACAATCAAATTCATTCAGAAACATGAATTCTTGAGATGAACAAATCCCCAGGACAATGGAGATATAAACAAAATCTGAATATGTGGTCTTTAGCTACAAAAACAATAGCCACTTGGAAGTGCATCTCCCCGTTACATACTTTTAAGGTTCAGTGCACCAAGAAATCATTACATAGAGAAAGAGTTTTTTTAAAAACCCGGTAAGAATAAATTCCAATGCTGTAGTCATAAACTTTCCAGAAACAGGATTTTTTTCCCCTCCGACAGAACGTAATAAAAATATAGTCAAAAACAGCAACAGAAACTACTTGAATGAAACACTATCAGCGAGAGACTTATTTCTACAGAGGAAAGTCTTACATCCAACAAAATGGTAATCGTGTGATACTTATTATACAGCGGACAATCTTACATCCCACAAAACACTACCTCCGAGAAATTTGTGTATACGGAGGACAATCTTATATCCAAAGAAACACTCCCAGCAAGAGACTTATTCCTACTGAGGACGATCTTAAATCAACTTATTTTAAGGGACAACAGTCGAACATTCTCCAACTAATATTCTTGCTCCACAACAAATTTGCTTACCATCTGACCACAACGACATGAAAGGTCAATGTATGCACACAATGCCTCGTGCAATCAGCTTAGTACAGGTAAGCAAGAAAGCAACATATAAAATAAGGGAGAAAATACAAAAAAGGGAACATAGTGATCGGCAACAAAGCACTCGAAATCATAGGACCCTATCTTTTTTTAGAAATAGTTGTTACAGCTTATATAAAATAGCACGGAACAGATTGGGAGGTAAGGATAAAAAGTTTTTTTCCTCTTTTAGCAATAATGCTTTGGTTATTCCACAGAGGCTATTCTTTGGTAAAAAGCTTTCATTAATGACAATTCATTGTAGGAATCAATATTTTAAATCATTAATATTTTTCCCCGAAACAAAAGGGATGCTTTGAAATTGTTTGAGCAGACGGCATTGCAATATCTTACAAAGGCAAGATTAATTTCTGACAAACAGAATGTCGACAGAAAAAAAGCAGCTTGCAGAGATCTGGGCACCAAAGTTCAATGCCAAGCTAGAAATAAAAAGATAAATACTCAACAAAATAAAAAAGAAAGGAAACTGATACACCAAATTGAAAGAAGAAATAAAAGTAACATGTATACATTTCCCTTTGCAAGCCATCTATTTAACCAAAGAGCACAATTCTCCTCTCTTCTCTTGATCGGCTATACTTCAAAGTGTGTACCTCACAGCACCTCACATGAGACTCAAGTAGAACCCTATATGTTGTGCACAATGATCACACTGGCAGCAGTGAGTGACAGGCAAAATAATATAAAGGCATAGCTGTCCCTTCTCAAACAGAAAAATGATTTAACATACCTCTATGACCAGGTAACGGCCTGGATCCCTGGACATTTTGGCAAACTCGTCCACAAGTTCCTTGAAGGACGGCCTCGAGTCTGCATCTAACATCCAGCCTGCAACAACACCAGAAAGATGAGAATATTGCAAGGATAATAGTAACTAGTAACTACTTTAATGAATCCTCCACTGAAGGAAATTTGCAATGTGCTCTCACCAGATTGAATTTCAGTTTTAGTTTTGGGTTTAGTAAGATTAGTTTAGTTTAAGTAAGAGTTTTACGGCACTTGCAACACAATAAGGCCATATGAGTGTCGAAGACTAGAGGTGATACAAGAGAGTAACAAACATAAAAAAGAAGGAGGAGAGATAAAGACGATATGTGTTTGATAGGAAAGAAGAAGCAAACCACACCAGATCCCATCAACCACCCACGGTTTAGTAAGAATTTTACCGCATTTGCAACACAAATAGATCATAATTAGTGCTGAAGATTAGACATGTTACTAGTGAATAACAAAGGAAAGAAGAAGAAGAGATATATAAGAATGATAGATGTTTGAGAGGAAAGAAAGAGCAAACCACACCACAGCACCCGCCAACCACCCACATTGAACCGTGTACAGAAGTTTTACATTCTTACATTTGACCATAATCATGTAAACGTCGATGGTACAAATGATGGGCTGCTGGAGTCGCTCCCCCTTCTCAAGCAAAATGGGGACATCTTTGGTACGCACACCTTCGTACGGACGCTTGCCCAGAGTGAACAGCTCCCACACTGTGATACCTGGAATAAAGTCAAAGTACTTTTTTATTTTTTCTTTAAAAAACCCCACTAAATAAATAAACATCACTATTAAACAGACAAAACGTTAGTTTTTGTCCCTCTGAGTTTTGCTTCTTTTGTCCTGACTGAGAGCCACACATTGATCAATTGTTTTCAAATACAAAAAAAGTCATGACAACATTAATACTTGATAGATTTTTCACGGCACTTGAAACACAGTAAGGCCATACAGATGCAGAAGGTTAGAGGTATTACTAGAGAATAACAAATAGCAAACAAAGAAAAGAAGGATGAGAGATAAGGATGACAGACGTTCGATAGAAAAGAAGGAGTAAATAAACCACACCAGAGTGCCCACCAAGAGTCACAAGTTGGTAAATTGTTTCAAATACATTAACTCTTTATCTCAGTGGGCCCTATTTCGATACAAAATCTTAAATCACTAAACTGGTCATTAAATCAAAATAAGTGAAACTATTTCGATAGCTCTTCATCCAATAAATGATTTCCTAGTAAAAGAGATTTGTTTTTGGCAATTGCTGAAAAGTAATTTGACGTCAGCGGCTCACCAGTTCCGACCGCGAGCCGCAGTGAGCCGCTTGCTGGAGATAAAAATTTAACGGGCACAACAATGGTAGTACAGGATAACTATTGAAAAACTGTTTTATAGATTGGAAAGCAAAAACAAAACTTGAGAATAGTGACAGCACAGACAGGAGATACGTTAAGTGCAGAGATAAAATCTTTCCACTTCACTGTAAACCAGTAAGTATACTTCCTCATCACATTAAAATATAATACTTAAAATTGAATACAATTTTCCACTTCACTGTAAAGCATTAAGTAGAAAATCTCAGCGTACTATAACATTACATACACACAAAAAGTGTAGAGACTTACCAAAACTCCAGACATCGCTTTTATGAGTGAAAATTCTGTGCATGATGCATTCAAGGGCAAGCCATTTGATAGGCATCTGAGAAAATAAAATTCAGTGTGCATTAATTTTTTTCGCTTTCTTTTTTCATGGCCATACTTCTAGCTTCTAAACCATGGGCCTATATTTTTAAGTAAACCCCAATCAACATAACAACTCGTTACCAAACTTGAGACGATGCAGTTTCTAAATCTGTGGTATCAGTTGCATGTACTCAAGAAATATTTTGTAAAAATCAAATTCTAAAGGTTGAAAAAGACAAGAGATATATAGTAAGTTAGAACACATTGTTAAAAGATTGAAACAATTTTTTCTTTCTCCTTAAAGACTGCTTCCAGGGCTTAGAAACATTTGAACAGACTGCCGTCAAACGACACACTTTTCATTATTATGTTAACAGGCATGTAGATTATATTATGAAACATGTCTGAAACTGACCAGTCCGCCCTGTGAGTGATATTCCTCAGACCCACTGTCTAACAATTTCGCGAGACCAAAATCTGTGATCTTCACTTGGTTTGGAGTTTGAAGCAGGACATTTCTGGCTGCCAAGTCACGATGAACAATGCCTCGCTCTTCCAGGTACGCCATTCCCTGTAGAGGAGAGAAGATTTTCTTAACTAAAACCTCAAAATGAGAAAAAAGACAAAATCAGCAATTACGATGATCTCACCATCACTGGAAAACTTTTTTTAAATCACATAACAGTAATCCAATCGTGCTTCACTCGGACTTATGAAAAATGGGAAAAATGAAAAGAATTTTACCTAGTTCAACTGAAGAAACCAACAAACCATAAGATACATCCTCAAAACATATGCCGTTATTTTTTTCATATGCAATGTATGTACCATATTTTGAGCATAGTCATCCCTCAGAGAGACACAGACCAACCACCCTGAACAATCTTATTTTAAACATAAAAAAGGATAAAGTTTGGACGTTAAAAGGTGATAGTGTTCATATCCGTGATGACTGTTCTTCTCAAATTTTAATGTTAAATATCAGCAACAACTCATATCAACACATAAGAGACAAGGACTCGACTGTCTGAGATAAAGTGGGAAATGACTCACCCTGGCTATCTGGGTGCACCAATTGAGAAGAGCCTTGGAGCCGATGTACTGGGTGTTGGCCCGTACGTACTGCAACAGGTTCCCGTGGGGCATGAGCTGGGTCACCAGCATCATCTGTGACTTCATGCACACGGCCAAGATACGCACACAGCACATGTGCTCCACGCTACACATGACCCGAGCCTCCTCCAACAGTTCTGTTGACTGGCTTGGAGAGGTGCCTTCCTGCAGCACTTTTATGGCTACGGGGATCTTCACATTCTCTCCCTGCGGGATCCAGATACCCTGAAGGAAGAAAAAGCGAGAGTCAGGAGGTTGCAAGGACCCTTACAGCTCCTCTATTTAATTCATTAATGTCTCATGGGTATGCAGATGCTAAAGTGGTGGCAAAATTATGTACGGCTCGTGCATCTTGCTTTAGGACAATAACCCAACACCTCAGGAGCATGTTCTTGCTTTCTAAAAGCACGGCATAATGCCAAACTGGTTATGAACAGATTCCATTAAAAAAATATGCTCATCTCGTTAGCTTTGTTCCTTAGACACATATACTTGTAGTGTTAATCAACAAATAAACAAATTTCACTTACATAAATACCACATTTTCACTGAGAAAGTGCTCAACGCCACCTGTCTAAGACAATCAGCTGTACAAACAACCACTACCCACTTTCCACCTGGAATTTTTTCTGTATTATATTGAGCTCCTCGATGATTTCAGAGTAGCTTACAGCATAGTTAAACAATATAGTGTTTGTCTACCTTGTACACAGTGCCAAAAGCACCAGAGCCGATGATTGCGCCTTTTCGAAGCTCAGATTCATTGATAATTCTCATTTTGGCCAGGTCTGGTTTGGCATTTGTAGGGGTCAATGGCTGGAAAGGAAGAATGGAAAGAAGAAAATATTATTTTTATTCATCCATGTTTGGGGGAAATCACATTGCTCTGTTAAACAAAATAAAAAAACGACATATTCAGCATCATCACAAATTACAAGACTTTACATGACACATATCTACAAACAATTTCACTGACACATCATAATTTGTTGGTGTAGCACAGCTCCCCGTTTCTAGGACAGGTTATCGTTAAAAGTGCAACCCAACTGCTATTTCTGTCTATGGTACTGTCTCTCAAAGCAACAATCATCATTTTTCTCACAAACCCAAACAAATCTCTGTCTCCTCCACACATTGGTTTGTACAATGTCACACAGTCACCTGTCAATCATGCCCATTTCTTCCACATATTTATTTGAATTATGTCAAGTGCTCATCTTTCGCTCAAACAAAACAAAGGAACAAACCTCTATTTCCTCCACTCCGGTGATCTTGGCAGTATACTCGGCAGCCTTCATGTTGTTCTGAGCCCGCTTGTGGCAGAAGAAGCCAATGACAGCAATGATGACCATGAGGAGAATGGCTCCAGGCACAGTGGAGCTGAGGATGATGATGAGTTCCTTCCTGTCCTCCCTGAGGACAGACAGATGAAGCAAGATGTGTGAGTAAGGGAGAGAGGAAGGGATGGGGGGAGGAGGGGAGAGGGAGGGATGGGGGGAGGAGGGGAGAGGGAAGGAAGGGGGGGGAGAGAGAGAGAGAGAGAGAGAGAGAGAGAGAGAGAGAGAGAGAGAGAGAGAGAGAGAGAGAGAGAGAGAGAGAGAGAGAGAGATGGGGAAGGAGGCATAGAGATTGCCGTTAGTAAGGCATAAACAGGCACCTTGCCCTGTAGAGAATTGCCTTTTGATAAGATGCTACAACTTCAAAAAGTTACATTGTATGAAAAGATAAATAAAGATTTATTTTAGTTTTAAAATCTCAAAATTCGACTGTAAAGGGTATCAAAAGTTAAAAAGGCTATTTTATTTTTTCAATGTACAGCCAATACGTACTCTGCGTTTTTCTCCAACAGCGCCACTCGCTCCGGGTGGGTGTTATCAGCACACACAATGCGATTCTCGTCGCTTTCCTCATCTTTCACTGTGTAAGGAAGCGACTTCGGACACTCTGGTGTGCAGTTGAACTGCAGAAGAGAAAACAAACAGGAATATTTAATATCTCACTTTCAAGCACAGTATCCATATGCAAATCTGCCAATAGTGACATGAAAAACATACAGCTAAACTTGTCAAAGACAACCACCACCCATTGTCGAGAAGAACTTTTGATTGATTGACAGACTAAGAGTTTTACAGCACTACTGATTATCGAGGAGAAAAGTGATCATCTAAGACAAATGTTCTTCTTGGAATGCGTCATCATATAGTCTAGTACGCACATAGCAAAATTGGCAGGATACTGATATCTTTTTGTTATGTATGAATTTTGCTATATACGTGTTTTACACTTTGCATTCACACAGCTAGCAGTACAAAATACCCTATCTGGTCACCCAGCCAGGAGAGTTACTGCAACGGATTTCTAGGACCTGCCGCATAACTGTGCCAGGTGACCAGAACGGATTATTTTCACCAGCGCATTATTGTGCCAAATGACCGCATTAAACCAATAAAAACAAAATTTTTCTTTTAAGAGCAAAGTCTACTTACTGTTTTATTCTCAGCATCGATGTAGATCTTGAAGTTAGCGCAGGCATAGCAGTCCGCAGTTGTGGGTCCTGAGCAGCCTCGTCGGCACTCGGCACTGCACTCTCTGCATTCTTTGAACCTCAGGTCGCTGTAGAAGAAGCTGGGGCATTCCTTCACGCAGAACTCTCCACTGCGCAGGTACTTGCACTCAGAGCAGAACCGCGTGTTGGGCCCCGTGCAGGTGGTGCATAGTTCGTGACATTTCTCACACACCTGGAAGACACAAGGCTCAGCATCAGACACAGGAACAGCCACAGATAATTGTTTTTAGTTTTTAGCTTTTAGTAGAGGTTTTACGGCACTCGCAATTGCATAAGGTCATATGAGTGCAAAGGGGTGGATGTCAACAGAGAAATCCTTACAGGGAATCAAACTTACTCTGCTCACCTCTCTAGCTTCAACAGCACAAAGTCTGCTTCGACTATCAAGGCACCCCGGAAATAGTGGGTCACAAGTGTGTGACAAACATACAAAAGAAGTAGAGGAAAAATGACAATAGCAAGGATTAGGATAGAAAAAGCAGCAGTTCCCTGTTGAAGATCAGGCACAGTTATGAGCGTGACATTGAGGAATCAGCCCAATTACAATTCTACTGTGCATGAACGAGAAATGTCCCGCCTTTGGGAATGGCCTAAAGACACTTCAGTCAGTGGCACCGCCCCGGGGAGGTAAGATAATTGTTGAGCAGCAACTTTCCAAGAAACTGGTCACATTGTTCGAGCATAGCACCATCGATGTATATTGTTTGACCAGTAAAAACCTCTATAAATTTTTGGGGAATTTGTTTTGTTTTCCTTTTTCTGTTTTTTTTAGTAAGAGTTTTACGGCACTTGTAACACAATTAGTTCATAAAAGTGTGAAAGATTAGAGGTATTACTAGAGAGTCATACAAAGAAACGAAGGGGGAGGAGACGTTTGGATGATTATTATGATATATGTTTGATAGGAAAGAAGAAACAAACCGCACCAGAACACCCATCAACCACCCACAGCTAATACCTTGCATACTCAAACAACATAGTAATAAACAATAAACGTGCACAAATATAGCCAGGACTGAATATTTGAGTTTGACGAGTGAGGTGGGTACAGCCGTTCGAGGCAAAAAACCTCTAGCATGAACTGAGGGGGAAATCTACACTTGAAACTTTCTGCACTCCGAACTATCTGCACTTTGAACACTTTTTGTCAAACATCTTTGATTACACTTAATTTTACAAAAGAAAGAAAAACAAAACTCTGAGACGGCAATGGAATAAAAAAGGAGGCAGAGTAACATTTGACAAGCCTTTAAAAAATAGAAGACTTCTGCTACCATTAAACATACCCTAAAGGAGACAGCTTGCTTGTTTGGTGCTCCATGCAGAGACATGAAGTATCCAGGTTTGCAGTTCTCTGTGTCAAGGGATAGACACTCCACAACTCCGTCCACAGTCTCCCGCGTGCCAATGTCACAGGAATCGCAACCGTTGGGACCCACAAACCGCTCCGGTCCTGAGCATCTGCAAGGGTGAATCAGTCAAACAGAAGTTAAATTAGTAGCCATTTTGAGAAGACAGAAGCACATCGCTATTCATTTGAAAGGATTGTTATACGTTGAAAGGGACAGTATGCATAAAACATGTCTTTGTGTAAGCTTAGCTTTTTAGAGAGGTTTTATGGTATTTGCAACACAATAAGGTCATATAAATGCCCAAGATTAGAGGTGTTATCAGAAAGTAACATCAAAAAAAAAAAAAGGAGGAGAGATAAGAATGATAGACGTTTGAAAGGACAGAAGGAGCAAAGCACATCATTGTGAAATACAACAGCAGCCTGGGAGTGGGTGCCATAGAAGTGATCTTTATTATTATTGGTAGTAAATGGTCTATCAGAGAAGAGAAAAGGTTAGACAGACATAAAAGCATAAGAAAAGAAAAGAAATAGGACCTACAAGCTGAAGGGTGTGTGCATAAAGTGATCATTTTGAGGGCAGTGCCTAAACTGTGAGGTTTCATGGGTAAATGTTATAGCAGATCAGACCAAGGAGAATGAACAGACAGAGAGAGAGAGCTGGACAGAGGAAAAACAAAAAAAGAAAATGGAGAAAAGGTGCCGTCACAGTGAAAGAGTGGTTGTGGCCTGTGAATGGCAAGATATGAGCTGGGTAACTTTTCCCTTGCTGTTACAGATGATAAAATTTGGAGTATTTGACACTTACCCATTTCTGCCGCAGAAGGGATGGCATCGTTGACAGATCTTGTTCTCATCTGGGTACATGATGTCTCCACACATGGGCTCACAGCTGTCCACGTTCTCCAGATTGCGCATGATGACGTTAGCACACTTGTCACAGTCCGTGTTGTTCTGAGGGAATGGGAAGTACATATGTGAGGTGTGCAGACAAAATGAGTTTTCTTTCGGGCTTAAGTCGTATGAACATTACAACTTCAACTTTTTAGGGGGAGTTTGTGCAATTTGTAAGTATGGAATAATAAAAGACACGGTAGACTTGAACAAAATGGCATCAACTAACAATCTTTAAATCTGACCCCAGTGTTGATTTTCGGTCGATATCTCCATCCTTGGATCGCGAGAAGTAACTCATTTTGTCAGCACGCCTCACATATGGTATTCCGATTGATTGAGTACAAGTTTTATGGCACTTTCGACAGTTTTGGTCCTGAATGTTAATATCAATGGCCTGTCCAACTATTAATGATTCAAAACATGGGCAAACAGGGTACATGGGCAAAGAGCAGAAGAAGTCTAATTAGCACAAGAATGGCCACATTTAGTTTTAGTAAGAGTTAAATGTAAAAGTCTTATATTTTAGTAAGAGTTTTATAGCACTTGCAAAACAATAAGGTCATATATAGGTGCCGAAGATTAGGGGTGTTCCAAGAGAGTAACAAATACGAAAATGAAAGAAGAGAGATCAGAAAGATAGATGTTTAATAGAAAAGAAAGAAAAAAACCCACATGGGAACACTCACCAACCACCAACTTACCAGAGAGTAATATACAAAGAAAAGAATGAGGAGAGGTATGGGCAAAACATAAACATGTATGACAGAAAAGAAGGAACAAACCCTGTCAGAGCATTTACCATTAGCTACATTCTACTAGGAATCTAATCGGGGACAATGATTTTACAGAAGAGAAGTAGAAGGCTCGGCTCAGCTCATCCCAGATCAACAACCATCCCCCCCTCATCTGCATTTTAATAATAGCTTCCGTCAACATCTGAAAATGACCAATAAATCTGCAGAGGAGAATATTTCTTAAAGTAGAAGAAATAGAAGAATTAAAGGTTAAGATGACTTGGGGCAACAAAAACAACACCAGAAACAACAACATCACCAACAGCAGCAGCAGCAGCAACAACAAGAACAGCAGCAACAAGAACAAGAACAACAACACCACCAGCAATAACACCAACACCAACAACAGACTACTCATCAACTCACAGGCCCATGGCACGTGTTGGCACACTCCTCATGGCACTGTGCACACTTTCCATCACTCTTGTGGTACAGCCTGGGAAAGTCCTGGCAGCGGTTCAGGCAGAGAGACTTGTCCTCGTACACGTAGTTGGCACAACTCAGGCACTTGTTGGGTCCCTTACCCCAGCAGCCTGATGTCCCGCACTGGGGATCGCAGACCTCCCCATTTTTCTCTGATTGAAAAAAAAAATTATTTAGGCGATTTCGCAAGCTCGTTGACACAACTTAGAAAATTCAGGAGGCTAGTATCTGACCCTACCTGTCAGGGCCAACCAGGGCTGAGAGGAAAACAACATTCCAGCAGAAAGACCAAGATACTTGATCAAAATTCAGGACATAACTTCACAGACCTTCCCACCTTTCTCTGAGAGAACAGGAGTAGATTCTATAAGTCATTAGAATTAAGGAGAAACATACCAACAAAATAACTGTCACAAAGTGCTGGGTGGGATCACAGATAAAGAAATATTTTTGATGCAAGTGTTTTTACGCCCTCATCGACAAAATTTAGATCATTTAGGAAACAAGTTTCCAAACCGGGTTGAGAAGGATACTACACCTTGGCAAAAAGATCAAGATGATCGAAAAAAATCCACTCCTCTCAGGAAAACGCACTCAGATCTCCTGTATGTATCAGCGAAGTGCCTAACCTCTTCACCACAGACACCGGTTCTCTGATAGAATTACGGAAAGATATACCAACATAGTTAAGTCTGTCCTGATGCTGGGAAGTAGACAGACAGTCAAAGGCGACAGAGGAATTATCACAAAGAGACAGTAGATATCAACATGGAGTCCTTTAAAACTCTCGGGAACAATATGGGAGCACAAGTGGAGGATTTAAGGAGAAAGGCAAAAAAACTTGGGGTGGAGGGAGAGACAGGGACAAAGAGAGACAGAAAGAAGAAAGAGAGAGAGAGAGAGAGAGAGAGAGAGAGAGAGAGAGAGAGAGAGAGAGAGAGAGAGAGAAACCCATTTTAGCCAGCAACCCTGCTCACCACAGTCTTCCTGTAGCTTGTTATGCTTCAATATCGCCTTTTGATCTTTATGGTTAAAGATCTTCTTCCAGTTGAGGGTATCCACATAACAAAGTTTTTCATTGCCAAAGATAAGAACGTCTCCGTTGCGCACCGACTTGAGAGAAGTGAGCTCCAGGGAAGTTAAAGGGGTGGATATGATGTCAAGACTGTGGCCATTCCTGAAGAAACAACAGCAAAGGGGTCAGTCACTGTTAACAATGCGTAGAGTTTAATTATGTTCTATGGCATTATTGACAGATATTAAAGAATTCAGTCTAGTACAATCTCAACACAAACTCAACAAAAACAATTTTATACAAGTTGTAATATCAGGGTGGGGGAAAGAGAAGGTATGATAGCATCAGCTAGCAGTTAAAATGTACTGGGCACAACATTTTGAAATTTGTTAAAGTTTCCTAATTTGTGATATCAGTAACATGTGCTCAAGAAATATTTTGTAAAAATTCAAATTCTAAAAGTAGTAAAAAACAAGAAACAAAACTTAAGGTAGGTACAATTGCTAAAAGAATGAAACTGTTTTCTTCCTCTCCTGTAAAATTTTGCTTTCTGAGCATAGTATATTTTGATAGCTTGCTGATGATATGCATACTGCCTCTTTAGATACTGAGATTACTTCAAAGGTGGGACATCTGATATAAATGTCCATCTTTAATAGGACTGAACTAGAGAGAGAAAAGCACCTTTCCCCCATTTGGGGTTTGAACCAGGGACATCTGCTTCATATTCTAGCAGAATAACAACAGAACTAACATTTGGCCCGAGAAAGAGGAACACTAACAACAATGTGTGAAACAAAGAGACATGCATTATGCAACATTTTATCAGTTTTTAGCCCGTGACACTTAGATGGGCCAGAAGAGGCACGTAAATAATATATCACTTTGAAACCCAAGTCATGATTCAAATTATCCAAAAACGGACATCTCTTGTTATTTACTTGTACCCTTCAACTATTTAACGACATTATCATTAACATCACCACAATCTTCATCATCATTCACTTACTGGGTAGTCGTTCTTCCATGAATGACTTCTAGACTGGAGAGGAAGCTGAGATTGGTGAAGTGTTCGTGGTTGGACTGGATGAGGAGGTAGCCGGTGATCTCCTTCACATGGCTCAGCATGGTCAGGTTGTGGGGGTGCAGTGGGTCGATGTTGAAGTAGTCGTCTCTGTGGCAGGAACAAGGCACAGTACACACCATGAGCAAACACAACGTAGACCCACTATAGTAGTACCACAGCATTCATTTTCATTTACTGACTGTACTTGTTAGACTGTTCTTTTGTTTTCTTATTAATGTAGGTGTTTTTATGCCCTTATTGGCACAATTCAGGTAAGTTAAGAAGCGGGCTTCTGACTCTGCCTGTCAGGGCTAACGTGGGCTGAGAGGGACACAACATCCTAGCAGAAAGATCGAGATACTTGATAAACGTTTCTCCCCACTTGGGAATTAAACTTGTCCAGTGTGCAAATGCAAAGCACTTAACCGCTACACCACAGGCGCTGGTATTATATTTGTGTGATTTATCTGTCTGTAACATGTTCCAGTTTCAGTTTGAGCTCAGAGAAGTACATCAATAAGACAGTCGTCATTTAGTAAAGATAAAATGTAAGATTGACAGAGAGACGGAAACAGAGGGAAAGAAAGGAAGCAGGAGCTACCAGTGGGTCACAATAAACTATGTGTGTGAAAATGTCTTTCAGCGGTCACATTATATGATAATAATACGAAAAAAACATCTTGTTGCACAATAGATACCTTGTCATTTTGTAAACAAAATTTAGATATTCCATTATCAACACTCCATTTGACTTATTTTTTTTAATAGGATCATTTCTTGGTTGGGCAAAACACTAGTGCCCATTTCGAAGCGTTCATTTTTCAAACAGAATGACTTATTTGATGATGTTTTTTTGTGGAACATATGGAATACTTAATACAAGTTTGTCAATAATTAGATCATACGAACGTCAGAGAGTCTAAAATGCTTTCTTGAAAATAATGATACAGACAAAAATCTCCATATTAGTGCCTCTGGCTGACATCAAAACAATTATATAATATGTTAAAAAAAAGGAGACATATAAAGATTTACAACACTATCCTGTATGTCGAATCTCCTGCAGTTTGAAGTTACAAACAGAATAATTTTCAAATATACTCCACCTGATCTTGCAAAATTCTCTCTGACACCAAAGACTTTATGATCATGTATGACTTTATCAGCTTCCTCATCCCCCTCACCATAAAAAAAATAGAACTGAAATTCTTTAAGTGGCAATACTTGCTAATCTGTCTGACAAAACAGCGAAATAATGAGCATCTGGATCGGAAAAGTGAGCATACACCAGAGGCCGAAGAATAATCATGTTTTCTGTCTCCTCTAAATTTTAGCTAAAAATCATCAACATCTCAAAAAATTGTTCATCTTAATTTTTTTTTTAAAGGGATATAATTTCATAAAAGTTTTCATGCTTCAGAGTAATGAAAATATCTACAATCGAAATATCATTCAGTGAATTAAATGGAAGCCGCTAAATGCACACAAGACAGCATAAAACCCCTGAAATATCATGCTTGTATGTTTTAACACGGTGAGCCATATAACATAGGACTAGAGAGATAACCAATATTTTCATACTCGATTAAGTGTTTTCTTTACAACTCAATTCAGACAAGCAAAATTACCACTGACACCAGGTAAACTAAAGTTTAATCATGAAAGATTGAGACTGAATTGACACTTAAAATGATTTCAACACAAATTTAACTAAAAAAAATTATGTATTAAAAAAATATATTTCATGTAAATCTAATCAGTGCATAGAAAAATATAACAAAAGCAATCAATCAAAAAAATAAATAACAGAAAACGAGGTTATTTGCATTATAAAATGTGCAGAAACTAAAATTAATGAGGAGAAGAAAAAAAAAAGAACTCTGCAAAAAACACAAAGAAGAAATTGAATTGACCCCCACACACTTGAACATTTGAAAGAGATAAAAAGGAAAAACAAAACAAGAACAATATGTAAACCTACAAAAGAAAAAACAAAAACAACAAGAACCCCACACACTCTGAATCATGAGTCAAAAATGAGGAAAACAAATTGTGCCATGCGAGAACCTCATGCAACGACCTACAGCCTTCCCAAACTGTTATCACGCTATTCCCAAAACAGCCAATACCAGGGCACACGCAACTAAACAATACATACAAATTTTTAATGTTACGGACACCCATGCCTTAACGATTTATAAAGCAACCTCAGAGAGATCAAAATTGCTGTAAATCTTGCTAGAGGCCGCCGGGAAAAGCTTTCAGGCTTGGATACATGCCAACATCATAATAATTATATGATTCTGAAAGATATGAACCAGCTAAGTTTGGATGTTCTAAGCATAGTGGTACCCGAAAACAATGACAACACCATGGTTATAATTGAATTTTTAAAAAAATTTAATGTAGGTGTTATACACTCCATCGACACAATTTAAATCATTTAGGAGGCGGTCTTCGACCCTGGCTGTCAGGGCCAATCCGGGCTGAGAAAGATACAACATCCCAACAGAAAGACCCACATAGACTCACTCAATAAAAATTCTCCCCATTCAGGAATCAAACTCAGGTCTCCTGCATGCAATGGCAAAGCGCCTAAACTCTACACTGCAGACACTGGTTGTGATAATAATTGATTTATTCCTTGAGTGTCTTATGAGTTACCCACACACTCAAATCTCGGCGATTGCATCTTATTAAGCATATTATGTACACAAATTATATTTAGTTGCGTGTTACCTGACCAACCTGACACTTCCCCCACAAACCACCCAAAAAATATTACGGTATTCGGGACAACATAAACATGGAAAGCTATGAAGTCACCATGCACAATACATAATATGCCACTTTCCATCCGTATGTTAATACATTAATGCGGTTAAATATCCATCGGAAGGAAACTGGGCGACTCATTCATTGAAAGTGTGCAGTGTTCACATAATCTCATATTATTGAAAGTGTACGAAAGAAAGGAACTGAGAAAGAAGTAAAGAGACGACTAATACACTGATTTTAAAAAATAAATAAAATAAAAATAACTGTGAAAAGCTGACATTTGACAATCAAGATGTACTGATCACCCAATAGAGAGGGACAGAAAATGTCTGGAAAAATTGAAAAATTCAGCCACCAAACCCAGATAGAAGCTCATGGAGAGCGGAAAGGTTTGGAGGATGGACAAGGTCGATGATTCAAACCACCTTGAAGGTAACCGATAAATGCGAAACAGAAGCGGAGAGCCTTAAATTAACAAGTTAGTACAGTCGAACCTGCTTTTATGGCCGCCTGTATAATACAATAATACCTGTACAAACGCCCACTTCTCATTTCTCCCTTGCGTACTTTTTACATGACACTGTGGAAGCCAGTACAGCCCCCTGTCTAAGACGGCCATTTTCATCCTCGACAACAGGTGACTGTCTTATGCAATGTCGACTATACTATTATTTAACAAAATATACTTGAGACCTGATGAAGGTGACAAGAATACCCCCTCTTAGTTTCTACGGGTTTTCTTCCCAAATGCGAGGGGCACTTCAAGCAAAACTGAAATAGTTATCTGCTTATGCCACAGTAAAACACAAAACACCCTAACCGTCTAAAAATATCTCTGTTAAGACCGTTCCTTTGTTCCATACCATATTATACATCACAACGTGTGTTTGATCGAATCCATACTTTCAATTTACGCATCAACATGACATGAAATCTTCATTGTACCTTCGCTGCTCCCCGTTTCGAGAAGCGTATCCAAGTTCCCCAACACCATTACTACGATGAAACTAGTCCTGATCGACCTTTTAATAGCTTGCGCCCACTTTTAAAAGCCTAACATTTTCACACTGCCCACCAAAATGTTTCTCTAAGCGGGGCATTATAGGTTACGTAAGACTAATTAGGTGATTCCCGTCGCCCACCATAATTACCAAATCGTCCACTCGTGGATGATACCTCCCAATTTGGAACGCACAGGATTAAACAAAAGACTACTGGGCTTAAAATAAAACGCTTATCACCAGATAAATTATGATAGCATACAAGGTATGTCGCGCCATTGGCACGCACACTGTGACCATAATATTAAACCCGCGTCCATTCCGTTCCTCTTTGACAGACATTAGAAGCTATCCCTGCCAGTGGCTGAATCATCGCCGGCTCCTCCAAACCTTTCACTTATTTGAGCCCGAGATGTCGGCCAGTCTAACTCACCTTTCAAATGTTGTGCTCAAAATTCTCAAGTCGCCCTGTACCGTGGTGCACCCTTCAAAGTCTTTGATAATTTTGGAGTTGAGGAAACCGGGGGACGTGCCATTACATGCTACAAGGGAGGGGACGATGCACAGGAGAAAGAAAGAGAGAACAGGAATAACTACAATATCGAGTTACACAAGCCAATCATGGGGGCCACACACGCTGCACAAACAAAAAAGCTCTGGGTAACCCACAGGGTGCAATGCAAAATGCCAGATTAAAATCTCAGTTAGTAGGGAAGCAAGACTGACATCCCTACAGACGAACAACACATAGCCAAAAACAAAAGAAACAAAAATAAAACAACAAGAAAAACCCGACAGTGAAAAGGAAGGCAACAGCTGTCACAAGTGACAGCAACTATAGAAGAGACACGCCGTGCCAACAACAGATGTAAGAAAAAGCAAGTTCACACTGAAAGTTTTCTCCAAAAAGGAAAAAAAACAAACTTTTTTTAAAATGAAAAGAACCCAGCGATTTGGATTCAATAGACCACGTCGAGTCTTTACGCCAAATATCCAGTTGATACCGTCGAGGAACCCCCCCATCCTTTAATTCTTGGTTTATTTAAGTGCAAAAGAAAAAAAACAAACTTTTTTTAAAATCAATAAAATAAACTCTTAAATATTTTACTTTTCACCCTCATTTATGAATGTAGTATAAAAAAAAATGACAGTAGCTGGGGTGGGGGAAAAAGTGAGGAGAGGATAGTGGTGTGTCTGCCTCATGGTTGGACCTCATGCTGGTGTTGACTTGGAGGTGAGCAGTGTTCACTCTGGTGGGCCTGTGTGAGTGTTTTTAGGGGGCTAGGCAAGGCCAGGATTGGGGGGGGGG